GTATTCGGGCGATGAGCATTTGTTCAATGTATGTTAGTCCTACGAACTCCTGAGGTACTTCTCCTGGATCCATAAAATTCGCTGATGTAAATCTTGATAGTTTATTTGGATCCGAACAAATTGTACAAAAGTCGAATCCAGCCTTTATTATATCAAGATACCAGCGTTTGCAATTTTCGCAGGTCATTAACCTTATACTTGACATTTCTTCATCAAACTCATGGGCCACTTCAACCATAAATCGCATTTGTTTAAATAATATATTAAAAAATGACACTTTTTTGTTAATTTTTCTGTTTAAAAGTTGTGGTATCTTCTCGTAATTTTTTGTGTGAAAAGTATACTAGTAAGTATAAAATACGGATAAAATGGAATTTTTATTTTTACATTGTAAATATAGTTAACGAAGTTGTATTTTTAACGTTCCCTTACGGGACGCAGCTTCGAATGTATATAATCAAGTATGTAAAGAGCTTCTACGCCTTTACTGGTAACTGTATTACAGTGAACTTGACAAATTTTTTTCACTTGGGATCAGAACTACCGTGCCAGGTATAATAGTTAGCCGGCGATGACCGCTAAAGTTTTTCTGCGCGGTAACAAGGCTTTTATTGAGGGGGCATCCAACTTTTTTCAAGTTTTTGGCAATTAAAACCAAGTTGTTCCACGTTTATAAGTATATGGTAACTCTGAAAAGAGCTGGTTTTAATATTAGTTCCTGAAATTTTTTAAAAGGCTGAAAATCATGAAAGTATTAGTTCATTCAATATATTGATTACAATAATGATATTCCGCTAGAAAATGATTAAAACATAAATGCTCCTGACACCACGAACATTTTATACAAATAACACTACTACAACGATTACAAGTTATACGTGATGTGATGGTGAAACAAAATTCGACAGGGTTTTCAAATTCTCCTAGCCTCTCGTCAACATGTATAGCTGCATCGAAACCATGCATATTGGAACAATATTGTTTATCGAGGTATTGATAATTGGTTGTGTGTGTGCGATTGAATTTTTATTATAGTATCACTGGCATCTAAATTTATATTGAAATTTAACGTTTTGACCAAACCTGATAATTTTTATACGAAATTTTTCCAAGCGCGACAACTACAGGGTGTCCGCGCCAAAGTGTTACACCGTGATATCTTATGAACTATTGATGTCAAAAAAATGTGCTTATACGGAAATTGCAGGGCAAAAGAGGCCCTACGTTTTGGCGGAAGCAAAATTTTTGTATTGTTATTAATGTAAAAGATATGATGGTGAAGTTCCGTTTTTCAAATGGAACTATATATTTTTTTTCCGATCAGGCGATAGTGCTTTTCAAGACGAATTCATCAAGGTTTTATGTACTTACCCGATTGTCATTAGTTTTCGAAATATAACGGTTACAAATTTAGTGATTTTCGGCAGTGACGTCTCGGTTTGACGAGTAAGTCATAAAAACGGTCTTATTGTTACCATAAAAACGTTCTTATTGTTACGGTAAGTGCCGCGGGTTTGACTCTGCTTGCCGAAACAGATAGGCGGGGTCTATGGTCGAAATGGCAGATCCGAAGAGTAAGAAATGTGAAAAGTATTGTCCATTACGGTCTAAGTTTTCCGTATTGAAGATGATATTAATTGTAATTTGGAAGGTTGGGACATTTATTTAAATGTTTCAGTACAAGGTAGGTATAAAGACAATTTAACAAAAAATTTATTCCACGTGCTTTCCGCTATTTGAAATACAAAACAATACCGTTCTTCGTCCCGGTCGCTGCCTTCCTTCGCTTACGTCTTGCTTTGTCCCGTAACCCTATTATCTTTCGGTATGTCTCCTCGTCCCTTTCAGCTGGCTAGTTTTACTTTAAGGTTATCGCCCGCTGCCAGTTACGTTGGAATTTTAGGGAGCACGGCTGGCTGTCGTGGCGAGCGCACGTGTTCGGGGGTCGCTCCGCGATAAAGTTCAATTATGGTGGGTAAAAGTGGTTAAAGTGTAATAAATAGTGTTGTGAAGTGATGGGAGACCGTGGAAATAATGAATTTATAAATAAAAATCGAATTTTCGATAATGGCGACCTCCACGCGACGCGAGGGAAAGCATGGGGTGCAAACGCATGAGTAATCGAAAGCGAGGAAACGAGTGTTCGGGCCGACCGCGGAATAAAATAAATATGTGCGCGACTTTATCACGATTATTTTTATACATCGCGAGTGAAAGTAGTGCAATTTAAGGGTGAAAGTTGCCCTCGAAGAAGGACTTGCGCGAACACGTGGTCGTGCGACATGTCGAAGTTGCGAGAGAAAGTCGCAGAAATTAAATTAATAGATATATGTAGAACAAGCGAGACAGAACGAGCGATACGTTGAGCGACATTCCATTGTCGTAGTGTCCAAAAGTTTTACGCATCACGTAAGAGGAAAAAGATAGAGTTTTTTAACATATAGTAGCAATATCTGTTTCTATACCTATGTTAAACCATTACGGATGAACAGTGGGAGCTACGCGTAAGTCGAAAAGTGGGGATTAGGTGGTCCTAGCGGCCTACCCTCTTTGTCCCGTTCCCGTCCCGCTAGTTTTCTCTCATACTCTGGACAGTACTTGCGCAGCACATGAACGAATCGCGATCGGATTCTGTATGTTCCACACACGTGAATTATAAGCATTGAAGCACCCTTCTCTTGTAAAAAGGGTTTCGTCTGAAAAAAAATTCATTTTGAAAACTGCAGGTGCCGGATAAAGTCCCGTGGATTTAAATATTGCACCCGTATATACTTATATCCAAAAACCACACATAGGTACGTCCTAACACAATATGCAGAAGTTTTAAAATTGAAGTCAATTATGTTAAAGGAATGTAGAGAAAATCCTTCCATTATTAATAAGGAGATTTTTTATAATATTTGTCGTACAAATCCTGATACAGCAGCGTATATTTCGTGCAATAGTACGAAATCTATTATGTCCAGAGAAAAAGTAAAATCTCGATCACTACTCCCTAAAATTGTACAGAGTACACATGAAATTCTTGGAAATTATAATGTCTTGAAAGACTTTTATAAGGGATGTGTAATTTCAAATTATAATAATTATGCCCTGATTTTTTCAAATACTATACTACTAAATGCATTAGAAAATGCTAATAATTTCAGATTTATACTCGTCGACAAGATGCCATTTTGAACTAAAAAAATTCTTTCCTTGTTTTTTGTTTGGTCTATTCAGTTTTGAATTACAGGGTGTTAAAAATAGAAGTCAACAAAGAGAAAATTCGGTACATTTTACAGTTTTTCTTTGGTAAAGGCAAAAAAGCAAGCCAGGCGGCTGAAATTGTGAATGGTGTTTATGGTCCCAATACTGTAACAGCTAATTGCGTGCAATTTTTGTTTCGTCAATTCCGTTTAGGTATTTTTGATGTTAAAGATGCACCCCATTGGAATCATTTAGAGGGGAATCATTTATTATGAGTTGCTTCCATATGGCCAAACACTAAATTCAGATTTTTACTGTCAACATCTGGACCGTTTGAAGCTAGCGATTGACCAGAAACGGCCAGAATTGACCAACAGACGAAGTGTCGTGTTCCATCAGGACAACGTCAGGTCACAAACGTCTATAGTGATTTGCCACATATTCTGGTAGTTTGGTTCGGAAGTTTTGATACATCCACCATATCGTCCGGACCTAGCATCAAACGATTACCATCTTTTTCTTGTATTGCAAAACTTTTTAGTGATAAGAAATTGGCATAAGAGAAGATTATAAAAATCAATTACTACAGTTTTTCACCAATAGGAACCAAGACTTCTATGAGAGAGGCATTATGAAGCCACCCTTAAAACGGCAACAAGTTATAGAACAAAACTGTGCATATTTGACCCAAATTAGGCAATCTGAAACATATTAAATAAATTCTTGTAGTTCACGTAAAAGTAATGGATTTCTTGTTCCCCAACCTAATACAGTGTTCATTCTATATAAGCAAAAATGTCCTTTCCGATATAAGCAAAATTGTTATCCCCACCACTGGGGGGAAGACCCCCCGAGACGCCCGAGGTTCGCTCGCCGGGAAATGTAACGTGATCCGGGGCTTAGTGTATCCGTGAGACAATACCAATGCAAATATAAAACTTTTTTATTTTTAACTTTTCCGTTATCAAACTTTTACCAATTAATTCTTGACATTTTTCCGATTAAAATGAGACCAAACACGATATAATTTGGACTATATTTACTGGTTTAATTGACGATAAAAGTTTTTCACGTCGAAGAGGATAGCGAGTCAAGAAGAAAGAGACGCTACGATCGTGGCAGTCGGCAAAGATCAAAAGTCTGTTCGATTGTTTGCAATACTTGAGCATTGCTAACTTTTTTATTTTTCATCCATTTTCTTATATAACTTTTTCCATCATATTCGTGACGTTTTCCTGATTAAAATGAGACCAAACACGACGTAATTTGAGTTATATTTACTTACAATATCTTATTAGAGTAAAGTCATCGATATACGCGTAACATTTGAAATTACAAGTAAATATGGCTCGAAGTACGTCATGTTTGGTCTCATTTTAATGAGAAAAATGTTACAAATATGATGGAAAAAATTTCCCAAAAAAAAGATAAAAAATAAAAAAGTTTTATTCTTGCATTAAGAGTGTCCTTCTGGTAGGTCACTGTTTACGTTCGGTCTCCTTCGCTCGAAATGTAGCACCTTTACGATATACGCAAACGGCGACCGTGATATTTTTCTCTTCTGTCCTTTTCTACGTTCGGCAAGACATCAATCAATGTAGGACCTGTACGATATACGCAAAACTTCAGACCCGAAAGATTTGCTTTTATAGAATATCCACTGTATATGGATGGCACCTTTTCAGTAAGTATTTAACCGTTTGACTGCTACGCGGCGCAAAAGCGCTGCGATCGTTTGTCTCAAAAACCGCGACGCAGCGCTTTTACGCTGCGAGTTTCAGTGTGTTTTTGGTGCTCCGTGGGAGTGAACGTAATCTAACCTCACGCGTAATTTGTAACGAGAGTGCATTCTTATACATTTTAAAATAACTTTTTACCGTTTTCATATATTCGTGAGAGGCCGATCCGCGGGATGCCAACTGCCTCCAATAAGTCGTGGTTGCTAGGTGAACTTGGGCTTGCAAATCTCAAAATTTCCACTTTTTTGCATATCGCGCGAGTAAAAAAGAAACGGCTAAAGAAAGTGGTGCGTTAATTTTGTCCAGTAGTGTATACCCAAACTCATCCGCATTTTTGGCATATGCTCACAAAATTTGTGCCGCAGTCAAACGGTTAAGGTAAACAACTTATAATGATAATTTTTTTCGGGTAGAGGAAGTTGTTTAATTTTTATCGTTTCTGATCTCTTAATAGGTTGTGCCACGAATGCCTCTTTTTCATCGGTTCTATACTACACATACGTTACAATGACACAGTATGCTACTATTGGTAGTTTTTATTAACACGTTAAGCGCCACGCCGGTCCCTAGGGACCGGAGTTAGAATTTTCGTTCAGGCCACGCCGGTCCGCGCGGACCGGCGACGGACTTTTCGTTCGTGTTATCATCGCGCGCATGTCGGTCCTTCCGTACTTGTGAAACTGAACGCTTATTTTAGGTGGCATCGTTTTTGTTTGGTCAATGCTTTAAGGAAAACAATATAATACTTAAAAACATTAATGTAATTTATTGAAACAAGATAAGCAAAGGTGAGGTTTTTGTGTACATTCGTTACAAAAGGTTGTTACTTTTGGCGTTACATTTTTAGCTGTCTTTGGTCCTAACATTCGTGCATTATATTTATAACATTCGGTGCAGTATTTTCTAATTTTGTGCGCAGTGCCTTCCTTTTTTTTCAAATGATGCCGAGGATTTACACGGGTGTCCACTTGTTCCTCCTCCTTCTCCTGCACAAGTATATCAATCAATTTTTTACGATACATTGTGATAGACATCTTCTGGCCTGTTGTTTCTTGGTGTATGAAGAAGGAATTTACAACGGCGGTATTCAATAATAACTCAAAACCCAATTTTCGATACCACTTCATCGATTTCCGTAGTGGGTTACTATACGCAGCAATTTGGTTAGACAGGTCAATAGATTTTTTTCCCGCATTATAATCTATGACAATTGTTGGTTTACTAACGATTTTTGATTTTGTTCGAACGGTCTTCATTTCTAGTGTATGTTTAGTCGAAAGTAATAGAACGTCGCGCTTTTCTCTCCACTTCAAAACTGTGATCCCTTCTTTACTCTCTTGAGCGACACATTCCCCACGTTTTAGTTTCTTGAATACCACTTCTTTTGGGTTATCCTTGCGGTTACTCCTTAGTGTGCCAATCAAGTGGGTATTTTTCTCTATGAGTTTTTTGGCCAAATTTACACTGGTGTACCAATTGTCAGTACAGAGTGTATGGCCTTTATGGAATATATTTTCACACAAATTCATGACTACATTTGTTGACGTCGTATTCACTTTGTCGAACGTTTTGCCACAGTAAACACTGAAATTATATGTATAGCCGAGGCCACAGCTGAGTTTAAAAATTTTTATACCATACTTGTGTTTCTTCTGCTTCATGTATTGTCGGAATATAATACGTCCACGATATGGAATCATCGATTCATCAATACAGATTAATTCTGTTGGATGGTAATATTTTTTAAAATTTTTGTTCAAATCGTCGATAATCGGCTGGATTTTGTATAAACTATTGGTGGTATCTGCTGTTTCATTGTTGCAAAAGTGAAGCATCCTCAAAGTTATCTCATACTATCAAACTAAAAACAGATGTCAATTTACAGCGAATCGCTACCATTGTTGCTCTCGTACTTCATCAATGTACAAAGCAATATGGAAAAAAATAGTTTCCCTTGTTCCGCGATTGCAAGATAGCTTAGAAACTGTCATGTGCGATTACGAGAAAGCTGTAATGGAAGGGGTACAAGCACAATTTCTCACAGTCACAATACATGGCTGTTGGTTTCATTTTAATCAGGTGCGGTATAAGTGTTAACATTACCCATGCTTTTTTTCCTCATTAAAGTACTCAGTAGAGAGTTAAATGGTCCTTTTCTTATTGTTTGGACTCTATTAAGGAAACAGAGGAAGTTAAGATAACAAAATGCACAAAAAGGAATTCTCTCAATGACTATGACAATGCCTTTAGTTCCACCGGACATGTTTCCAGAAGCGTTACATCACATGCAGTTAGTTGCAGATCATTTATGTGGCACTTTCCCGAATGTGCTCCAGTTTATGCCGTATCTACGCAATGTGTGGCTACCTATTTCTTCGAAGGTCAGCGTATTAGGGTGTCCCCTAGGTGAGATTATTAAAGTTATCTATAGGCAAGACCCTATAGATAGCGTGAACAGTTAGAGAACGTAAAGCTAAAGAAGATAGAAAACAGGAAACAGAATTTTAGAAAACAAAAGGCAATGCCGTATGTGGTGCCAAGGGCGCCACAGTTTAAACGATTTAGAGAGGGAAATTTTAATCTGGAAGATTAGAATCGCAACGGTCGCCCAAATATGACAGACACAGACCTTATCAAGGCCATGCTTGATGAAAATCCTCGATATAGTGTGCGGCAGATAGTAAATACCACTAGGATCCCCAAAGTAACAGTGCATAATCACCTAACCAGGATGGGATGTGTTAATCGCTGCGAAGTTTGGGTTCCTCACTTATTGACCGAGGCCAACCTTATGAATCACACCTCTATGTGCGATTTGCTTCGCCAAATTCATGAAAAGGATCCGTTTTTAAAGAGGCCAAACTTGGATTTGTATGAAAATGTGCATAGAAAACGCACTTTGTGTAAGGACAATAAGCCTTCAACTGTCGCAAAGGCAGGACTACACCCCAAAAAAGTTCTTATATCCATTTGGTGGGATTGGAAAGACGTAATTTTCTACGAGGTCCTTCCTCAAGGTGAAACAATAATTCCAAACTTCGCGATCAAATTTATGGATTTTTTTAGGCTGGTTTCTACGGTTTTGGAATTCGTGTAATTGTTGTTATTTCATGTATTAACATTTTGTCCAAAATTGATTTACAGATAATTTATCCAAACTAATAACAGATGAAACGATTAATTAAGTTAGCCCAAGATAATTTAATCTCCGGGATATTGTGCATCTAGCAATTTTTAAACATGTTTAGTAACGATTATGACACCAATATAATAACAATTCGTTACCAAGAGGTATGTTTCAATACTTCAACGATGCAGCATACAACTTTTACTTCAAGTAAGATTTTTTTAATTTGCTTTTAGACTGCGATGAAAATGATGCATTTAATGGAACTCTCACGGATGAAACGTTTAGTATAGGTAATAATTCTGTCCTAAAACTAACATGAATTCTATTAACAATTTTCGTTCAATTTTAACGAATTTCAGTGGTTTATTAATCTTTTTCAGAAAATAAATTGCCTGATTACATGCCTAATGAAGACCCTGTTCAACTAGAAAGTACATCAATCAATGATATTAATAACAATGATTCGTGTTTCTAATTATTCTAGTCGTTAATTATATTTACTATTCAACATATTTACTATTCAGCACAACAATTATCATATATTATCTTTTATATGTGATGTTCTAACAATATCAATGGATAATATTAATATATGTATATCCAGAAAGTGAAAGAATATCTATATATAATTCAATAGAAGGTATGTTATGTTATGCCTATTAGTTTTTCCTTTTTTCTTGTTTCAAGTATATTAAGAGTAAAATAGTAAAAAAATTTTATATTATTTTAAGTTGTTTGTTTGTAGTGTTGCTACAATCAACAACTAATAATTTATGTTTATCATTTTTTTTTTACTGACCTTTTTATAATAGACAGTTGTAATAAAAGTGAGTCTCTTACACATTCACAAAATGGTAACAAGAAAAAAAACAGTGGTAGGTAAAATTCTGATCATCAATCTATCTTATTAATATTTTGATTATGTATTACAAAGTCAGTAAATTTTATTAAGGTCTTATTTAATGTGTACTTATGCACTTTAAGTGTTGTTCCTTCAGCATCCATTGACAAAGCCAGCAGTATTTCCACAAAAGCTTTACAGAAATTACACATAAGTGAAGGTAATATGACAGAAGATATGTTTAACCTATGCTGACATTTTCAAACAATGTTTGAAATTGTTGATACTTTTTTATTAATTAAAATTGTTTTTTAGTTTGTCAGTTTGTTAACATTTAACTTGCTATCTTTGATAAATACCATGCAAATTGAATATTTATGTAAAATACCATGGATTATAAGTGGATAATAGATATAGTATACAATACCACACAATATTATTTTATTTCGTTATCTATCAATGTAAAATTAAATTTGACAAATATACACTGTAATAAGTATATTTTGTAGTTATTTAATTTCATTTTATTCTATCTGTTTGTTATTAAATAGGAAAAGGATCTGTACAAAGAATTTGCTACTGCAAGGTTGGCGTCTCCCCAATACCATTACCATGTGGTCACACTTAATTGTAAACAATAATAATTAACCTTTTAGGTACGACGCGCCACTATAGTGGCTTTTGTGGATATCATCTTGTCCGAGACGATTTATATGTATATTTCAAAATATAAACTGACGAGTGAAACGGTTGGGCTGACGTCGCCCCCTTCCCCGTGCTCCTCAGGTATCACGGGTGGACCGAGTAGCTCGTCGCCTGGGGGGTGCGGGGAAGCGAGGTCTTATTGTCCTTTGACAATAGGCGCTCAGTTCATCCGTAACTCGCAACTCTTGATTATCAGCTTAAGAGCGATTAATTTCTTTTCCTCGAATTTCTTCGGTTTAGCCTTTCCGGCCAAGTTCCCCCTTTCCGTCTATGCGTGCTACGTCGCCCATAGATACAACGCGGGTAGGGTTATTTTTAATCCCGGAAAGTGCACACAAAAAAAATTTGAAAACCTCGGTCAACGGATTATACCCTAAAAGTCAAGGGAAATCCAAGACA